TATAATAACTACTACTATATATATATATATATATATATATATATATATATATATATAAAATCAAACACAAAGCCCACACTCCGCAGTAACAGTTACTGTGTTAAACTTCATTTGGAAAATGTCACAGAACTATATTTGTCATTAAGTTTTACTTCTATCGAGAAGTGCTCAATGATCAGATGTTGCTAGTACTTGAGGATTCGAATGTAAGCTTAAGAGATCAAAAATGCATTGAGTAGTTAGTTGTAAGAGAAATGTAATGTCTTCTGCTCCACGATGATATCGATGAAGTTATGTTGCTTTATCATAAGCATTTACTATTTCGAGAAATTATTGTTGCATGGTTCCGAATAAAAATTGGCGGTAACTTTAAATTTCTTGAAATTAAACATATTTAAATTTAGCATACTTTGTAATTAGAAAACTTATTTTTTCCCAAAACACTGATAGCCATAACTCTGTAAAAATGTTTATTAATCTGCGTATAGTGGGAACTATAGATGGACGAGAACAAGAAATAGATTTCTATACATTAACTATATAGAGAAAATAACTATCGATTTTAACCTTTAATTAAAAAGACGAAGAGATGTTGTGATGCAGTCTTCTTCATCCTGATTAGTTTCTTTTATTTTCCCGGTCTGCTTACAGTATCCATTTGATTAAGAAACGTGTTTTGTTCCGTTCTCTTTCAAAAGCGCATCTGTATCAAATGTTAATTTTGTATTTGAGTGTTCAAAATCCGCTAAACACAAAGAAAAAAAAGTGCAGGTTTAACATTAACTTCTACACATTCCTTTTTTATTTACATTTGGAAAGATTTTGTTTACTTCACATTTTGTTGCAGAGAAATAAAAGTAATTGCCATATATATATTTGCTCCCCTCTCTCTCTCTCTCTCCCTTTCTCTCTCTCTTCACATTAAGTAAGATACTTATTTTATGCTTTATGATTGAAATATAATTATTCAGTAATTTGCTACCGCAGTTTAGTCAGCCGGGAAGATTAGTTGTGCAATTTAGGAGTGACAACGAAACTGACTCATTAATTAGTACCTGACTCATGCAACACCATTTTAGAAGAGTCCTTCTAAAATAATCCCGAAAACTGGCATCAAGGTTTCTCGAAAATCTTGGTACTGGTTCATTCCCGCTTGTGAATAGAGTATTTTCATGTTCAAATGTCACATATCATCTTGTGTAAATTGTAGACAAGTTCTATTTCCTTAAAACTTCAATGCACAGATTTTAAGCATAAAAATCTAAGTTTATTGACACGTGACGTCACAAATTCTTGCATAAATTCATTGGAATAATCCTTTCTGTTTTCAGTGTGTACTCACGGATCTTTCAGAACAAAACTCATAAGTTGCATAGTATAGACACTGATGTAAAGTTAATTGTTGAATTCTAATTCAAACGTTTCACTCTGTTCGATACAGTTTTACTTCCATCATTATTTAACAAAATTTCTCAAAAAAACAAGAAGTGATGAATAGTCGAATACGGACAATTGTGCTGTATCGCGGGAATGCTGATACATCGAAATCTTCATGTTCAAATTGTTCGGAGCAGCAGCAACCCTCCAGACACCCGCTGGGTTTCAGTATCGTAGGTGGCATCGATTCACCGCGTGGTCCTATGGGAATCTTTGTCAAAACTGTTTTCGCTGATGGACTGGCTGCAAAAAGTGGTCTTGTTTGTAAAGGTAACCGAAATTGATTTTGTCACTGTGAAGAAAATTAGTCTGATGAAATTGAACGGGATCAAACTTTCTTAAATCGCTAAATACTTTCGAAATTTTCAAAAAATATTTTCTCCCTCCTCCGAAAAAAAAACTTGCAGTAATTTTGGTGGCACTATTTCTCTTACTTTAGTTGAGTTTTACTATACCTGAAGAAGGTATATTCGGTGATATTGCCATCGGTGATATTGCCATCCCGTTATACCTATTCATCATCTGTTTGACAATTTAACACCTTGAATGGATACCGACCTTAGGGAATTTCTTCCTAACAGGTAATGTTTGATTACCACACTTGTAATGATCTTGAATCTTCTGGAATTGACAATTTGAAAAATTCATTAAACTTCGGACAAAAAGTCATAGTTCTCCGCGATAGTATTTCAAATTTTTTTAATTGGAAAAATCAATGGGCTTTAATCCAATTAATTAAATCAAGACAGAAACGCGTGATGGGAATGAACCGACTGACGACCAGCGGATTGTAAAGAATCTTATAGTTCCTGAATTTATATCTCCAAACAATTCTATACTGTTTCCTTACTTTTTTCGAATATAATGTGAAATATGTTTTAATAATTTCAAACAAAACTAATTAGCTCTGAAGAATCAATTTTTGGCACATTTAAGAATTTTAGGCGATGAAATTTTGAGCGTAAATGGAGTGGAGCTGAATGGAAAGACACATGGGGAAGCGTTGCAAATATTCAAGAGGAGTGCGAAAATTGATGTAACTCTTTGCATTCGTCGAAACATTCCAAATTCATCAAAGCAGAGCAGAATTGTAGACTGCACCGAAGGAACCTTCACAAATCAAAAACTGACGTACTGTATTTTATAAATTTTTCCAAAATTTGATACATGAAATGTGGATAATGATGTTTCGCTATCTCAAACTTCAGTGAATCGAATCTTTGTGTCCAAGATATGTAGTGAGTATCAGAGACACTGAGTAAAGGAACCACTAATAAAATGTGAGAGTCAAACAGCAAAACGATTCTAGATCTTAAGGTTCTTGATTAGTTGTGCCGTTTATCGGATTCGTAGTTTCTCATTTCTATACTAGAAGACTAAGAATTGATCCCAAATGGAATTGAACGGCGCTTTTTCTAGAAGAGCCAAGCATCAGCGATTATTATCAATCATCGATTATTCTATTTTGTTTTATTTTGAAATTTTGAACTTAAATAATAATTTTTTTCTGCTAAGCCACAAACCGCTCCTTATATTTTCTTACTCCCTTTATGTTAACCTCCATCAAAATCGTTTTTCCAGCTTCCACAAAGAAATATGAGTTTTTACAATAACTTTATTAAAATAAAGGGCGCATAATATCCGAGCTCTGAAAGCGGCTTATGTCATTTTACTCATAAATTTATGTTTCATATATACGCTGCTCTTCTTCCGTTATTGGTCCAATCAATAATATTCCCTTGATTCTTCCGAAAGATTGGAATTAATATTTAACTTAAAGTAACAAAGAGAAAAACTTCTGAATATATAAACTGTCTACTTGTAATTTCAGTTCAAAATATGGTCTAGAAAACAATAAAAATTGTATTCATCGTTTATGATTCATCCATCGTTTGTTTACTTTTAGTTATTCACTAATTTCTCCATCTTTCTTTCCTTTTCATCCATTACCTGTGATATTATGGTTATTTACCTTGTAGTGTTATTTTTAGTGAAATAATTATAACAAAAATATTATAAAGAGTTTTTTAGGATATTCAATGATAAATGTGAAGATATAAAAAAGTGCATTGAAAATGCGTCGTCAGCAGCAACATCAAGAAATACCGTATGCTTGAGATGCCGGATTCCGATTCGAAGTCAACAACGGAAAATGTATGGTAGTCCCAGCGCTGTAAGTGGGCACCGTTATTTTTGCATATTTTTGCGAAGTGTAGCAGGGAAATTTGCATTTCTCTTATGTAACTTCACATGTTAAGCACATTAAATATCATTGATAGATAGATAAGTTGAATTTATCTGAAAAGTCTCGACTTTCCTGATTGTCTTTCGAATGATAAATGTTACAATTCCTACGAGTACCAACAAATCCATCCGTTGATCAGGAATTTTGTGTAAAGTGTAACTAACTGTTGGTCTTTGAAAAAAAGCTTCCGAAAATTTAGATCAGCCATATCGTCCAAGAAAGATGGAGAGTTTCAGAAAAGCATCATGATTTGGTGTTACAGAATGCAATGCGGCATTGTATTCCCTACCACATTGTCATATCCGTTCCATCGCTTATCATTGTCTTCAACCTTCACCTTATTCTTATATGATCGCACTTTCTCCTTTTTTATTTCTCTAAACTGATGAGCTTAAGGTGATCAGCTACCTTAAACCTTTTAAGCATGTTCGAAATACAGTGAGAGAGACGGGACAATGCATTGCAGAGATGATGAAGATTGAACAGTATTAACAGTTGACGCACTAGATCTCTAAATAGCGTGAGAATATATATGTTGTTCACTATAATCTCCTTTTTGGTTAGCTATGAAGCACATTAGCGTGAGTGATAGAAAAATACAAAATATATATTCAATCAGAAACTTATTTTCGAGGACCGAGGATTGTAGAAGATGTGTGATGAATCATTTATCTTCTACTTTCTCTGGACATTTACTGTCATTTAACTGTCTTCATTTGATCTTTATTTAATTCCATGCTGATGATACGGGAATGAAGAGGAATGGCTAAAAAAAGTTTTTTGAGATCTGCTTCTAAATTTCTTCCAAGTTTCATTAAACATTAGACCTTGACGATTGTACCACAAAATACCCTACCGCACAGGTGATGAAGTGTCAACTTGATGAGGAAAAGTCCAATGCCTACTCGCTTTCTATAGAAATAGCAACACAATGACTATTAATTACTCATGCAAAAGAACTTCACTGCCACTGCTTTGGTCATTTCTCAACTCAGCCATTTCTATCCATTTATAATTCACTTTCCCTCACAATAGTCCGAAAAGAAAAGATGAATCATTCTGGTAGAAATCAATTCTGAGACTGAATCAGTTTCATCCACAATCCATATACCATATAAGAAGATTCAGTTGATTCTGTTGTCGACATTCTCGAAGTTTTGTCACAACTTTGAAATTTCAATTTTGTAAGCTAGTAGAACATAGTGATTGAAGTAAAAAAAAGCAAGAATCAATGCATGATATTTTTGGTTTGTGTCTGCACAGGCTTAGAATAATAAGGACATCACTTAATTAACCTTTAGAACCTTTCAGAACTAAATTGAAGTAATGTGGCTTTAGAATGTCATGTAAGTTATGCGGGCAACGATATTCAATACTAGTAATATTAATTATCCTTTCTCCACCTTCTCTCTTGCTCATTCCCTTTTTTGTCTCCTGTCGTTACGGGTTTGCTTTCCCCTTTTTATATGGCAGAAAGATTTCTAGTTGACCTTAGAACTGGGTGTGGGCCGAACAGGCGGTTCAAAATGAATGCAACATCTGATTGATCCCGAGATGATAACCCAGTATTTCAGTGATCAGATTTCATAAAATCTGTCGGAACAGAACTTTTAGAGATAGCGCAAATCACATTGCAACTGAAATGAATTCCATTCATTCGTTGATTGACCTTTTGATGATTTTTTCAACTATTCATCTTCATATGGCGTGAAGCGTTGAGGAAGCGGTGTAGTACATCGTTCGTGGTGTCTTTGATGATTAACGATCTATGTGCAATTTTTTAAATTAAAACTTATGAAATGAAAACTTAAAAACTTGTGAAATGAATAGTGCTGTAGAAGAATTTCAGATGAGATTTTTAGTGCATTGCTATGCTAAAATTTCGAGCCTTGAGGAATTCCAATTTCAAATTTTGAAGATAGCAAATAAGTAAGTGTCCGTAAAATTTTCACATTGCTTCGACATGACCTTCAAAAATTGATGTATTGTTGGTAGACTGACTTTGGAAAGTGACGTCTTCTCTTTTATGCTGTACAAATTTTTGTTTCTATATCGACACGAATTTCTTTTCAACTTTCTGGAATTTTTGGGACTTTTCGAATTTTTTAAAAAAAAATTACCTTTTCCAATTCATATCGTGAATTTAAAGGAATTTGCATTAGTGGTCGTAAAATTTCCACTTACAAAACTATCAAATATATGTGTGTAAAGCAGATAACTGAAGCCAAATTTTGCTTAACTGTTTACGCAATATTCGCATGGCCTGGTATTGAAGTAGACATAAAATGTTCACTCATAATGAGTAAATTTTTCAATTATAGCTGGCTGGCTTAGTGGCATAATTTCAGAGCATGCACTACTGCGATTGTTGTCACTTCTAGAACTATTTTATGAAATTTGCAGTTTTTTGTTAGAATGTTATCGAATAGTCTGTAATTGCTTTAACCTTTATTGCAATGATGGCCTGAAGCTGGGGTATTGGAACCAAGTACGATTATCCTTTTATGAGAGTATATACGTGTGTAAGACAGCTAAGAAAAGCATCGAACGCTTTTTGGAAGCTAAAGAACTCATTGAACACAATGGAAATCAAACAGAGAAAGTTGTGAGAACATATATGAGAATTTGGAGCAATACGTGGATCGCGCAAGAAAGAGACCTGTTCAATCTTTCTTAGTGCACCGAAAGCCTAATTGTAATTGCACAAGGATTTAGCATTAGTTTAATTAAGAACTTAACTTTGACTAATTTCAATCAAAGATGAGTGTAAATGTGGCTAAGCTGATTTATTCTCGCTACAGAGTAAACTGTACCTTAGCTTTAATATACCACAACTTCACAACGTAGAGCTTTAATATCACGAAAACCTAACTTTGTGTCCTATCTCCTTGTTTGCTTACCCATTCAACCCTAAAATATTGTATAATTATTCTCATTCCCAGTAGTTCCCAATCAACTGATTACCTATTAATTGTCCTTATTGAAAAGTAAAACCATGCGATTATATGAGTATTATATAAGTACACTTATAGAACCGCTTGAAGTATAAGTTTAGACAGCATTCGTTCATCTATTTACTTTATCGCTTTTGAAATACTTTATTTAAATGTGAAATAGGTCATAGTACATCAGTTCAAGTCATTCTTCTTCGATCACATTTTTATGCTAAATTTTAGAATTGAAATATTTTAACATTAGATTTCACATGTTTATCACTGCACATATTTCCTCTTGTTTTTGCTTAATCATTTTTTGACACAATTTTCAACTATTTCTTAATTTTCCTATCATTTTATGCATGAACTCTTTAGTCAGCCAACAACAGTCAAAAATTGTCTGCTTAATAATTGTCTTCATTAATTGTTCATATAATTATGCAAATTACAGAATGCGTTTGTAAGAGCAAAGCGCGTACTCGGCATTAGGCACGAGCTGATGCGCAAACAAATCATTCTTCGACGATCAGCGCCATCGGAACGTCTCGGTCTTGGGATCGCCATTGAGAGCGATGATAACGATAACAAGTAAAAATTTGTTTGTTATTGTATTTGATAGCTTATGTTTTCCTTTAAGCGAATGTGATCCGATTATGCATATTATGTATGTACTTATTCTATATTTGGGTTCAGCTGTGATACTACACAAGTCATAAGAATCATAAAGCTAAAACTTTTGGGTCACTCTTAAATTCGAGCTGCAAATGTTTATTACCTACCACTGTCTAGGTTGGTCCTTACCTGACGCAATTCAGGAAGAATTTATTACTGATTTGACGGAAATTTCCTTGTAGAGTGATTTGTGTGCGTGTGGAACAAGTGGATTCATGTTCTCTTGCTTCTCGAAGCGGCCTGCAAGTTGGTGATCGAGTATGGAGTGTTGCTGGTACCGATGTGCACCAATGCACTCGAATTCAGTGTTTGTCACTTTTGCAGCAACCAACAATGACCGTTGCCATGATTGTCACTCGGCAAAATACGTTAGCTTCTTCAAAATCTAATTTATTTAGAACTTGTTAACTTGAGATCCCGATAAAACATAGATGTCCAAAGACAGAGAAGCCTTATAAAAGGTAGAAATGGAATCACGGAAAAAAAATAATGTTCAATTAGTGGACTTCACGAAATTTAATGAATTTTTAAGATTATATGTGGAATTCTTGCAAAGATTTATTTCAAAGATTCTAAAATTTAATTATTCTTTCCAGCACATCATCTCCGCGGAATAAAAACAGTCGTTGTACGATGACCAATGGATCTCAAAGTTCCCTTTTACAAAGAGGTCATTTTTTTTGTATTGCAATACTCATTAATTTATAAATTTCACATTTGTTCGTCAGCTATTAAGAAATAATTGACACTATCACATCATTTGAAATCAAACAGTTTAAACCAATGAAAGCTAAATAACCTATGGATGAAATGAGCCTTGTTACTATATTGATTAACAATAGAAAAAGCAGAGGACATTTGAAAATATATGCGAAAACGAAACTTTTGGGTAACAAGTGTAAAAGCTGGAAAATTAAAAGTACAAAATAAGCATCCTTTTTATGACCCATGTAGATACACCGATACAAATATATCTCTGATATATATAAAATATCATAAACAAATAAGTTTAGTATAAGTTGATGGTGATAAGCTAATATTGCAGAATTCATCTGTGATTATTTTCATATGCATAAGGTTAGCACCGGATCAGAATCACATTATCGTTTGATTACCATCCAAAGAAACTTTACTATTTCTTTTAGCACAAACCTTTTCGACCACTAAATCAGAATAGCTTTACTCATCACAAGCAATGATAAAAGTAAAGTATTAAACAACTGCTTATTATACTCGTCCTCCTTCATATTATAGTTTACTTGTAATTGTAGCTCATTTTCTATATTTTATTTTCTCTTTTATCAACTCTAATCTTCACCAACTTCAACCGTTTGATATTTCAACTTTTCTTTCCTCTAAATTTGATTCACTTTACAGCAGCACATATCCGGTGAGATAAGGTTGAAACTTTGGGATACATTTTATATAATTGGAATTATTATTTTAGGAAATGAACAGAGATTGTTATGGATATCAAATATGGTTTCAATTCCATTAATGAACTATGATGGTGACATATTTAATAATAGATTTTTCTAACATGATTAGCTTTTGTTAATGTAAAAGTGACAACAAATCTCTAATGTAAAGTCATCGGTCGCCTCGTCTTAGATTAAAAGTGGTATTTTTTGTGCTGTGCAAAAGATGTGAGAATAAGTTGAGAAGACACTTCTATTATTACCAAAGGAATCCTGAGGCTAGATAGCGAAAGATGTTAGTATTGACAGGTAGTGCTACTTCGTCACAGTCGGCTGACTAACTAATTTCCTCACCTTTACAACCTTGTTACTCATTTTTCCTTCAGCTAATTCCGTTAGGTTGTTTGCTATCAACTGTGAAGGTTTCACAAAGTCTTGTTGAAGTAAAGTTCCGGGAATTCAGATCTAATAAAATTCTCCCCTTTATTGTAGAGATGTGGATGATAGCAATAGCCTGAATTCGAACTGAATTGAAATAACTTTTTTGGCTATTTCCTGTAACCATTTTGTTTTTGAAATGCCGTTTAGAAGTTCTTTTCCTATCTCCCCCCTTTTCGTATTTTACCTTCACATAAACTTGCACATATATATGCAAGTTTAATGATGCATCTGAAATTTTGAGAGAAATTTTTTCATGGTAATGCCATCGACCATCTTTGCATTTATTATATATATATATATATATATATATGTCCGAAAATTTATATTAATTTTATATGAAGTACCATGTTCCGATCTGTTGCAGTGGCTCTCATTGAAAAGGAATTTGATATGGTAGTCGTGCTTGTGATCTTCCTACAGGTTATAGATTAGAACGAAGAAAAATTTGAAAGTTTGTTTCAAATATCGTATGAACAACAGAAAGTGGCAAGGAATCAGTTCTTTGAAAAACCAATATTTTAGTTTTTTTCTATTAAGCTTTTCCTGCTTGTATGTGGAAAATTTTTATAAATTTTGTCATTCAAAAATGCTGATATGATTCATTTTAAACATTTCAAATTAAACCATGCATCTGTTTGATTACAATCTTTGACTTTTTTCTCCTTTTCTCTTTGCCTCTAAGATACAAAGAATGAGGAATGTTGATAAAGGCCGTGGAATACCGTCTCACTTGACATTATCATTATACAATGGTTATTATCATCACTGTCGTTATCGTCATCTTTTTCACTGACAAATTTCCGATGAATACCATTGAGTTGAAAAAATATGATTGTATTTTCGTGATATTGTCTGAACTTGACTACTTTTGTAACGATTTTATGCCTTACCCTCTCCTCCAGGCAATCTCTTTTTCTAAATGAACAAGATATTTTTACATGTAGTGAATAGAAGGATTTTAGTAAAAAAATTCAAAGAGTTAATTAAAACTGCAGCTGTTTACTAAATAAAAAAGGAAAGGAGTTGACATTTGTGTCAAACTTCACTTTCTTTCATTAAAAAAATCACCGAAAATTTCAAATCTTGGAAGGAAGGAATAGTGTAAAAACATATCATAATAGTCGAATTTCTCGGAATTCTTGATGTTTTTCTTGTAAATACCTGAAACACAGATTTCTTGCAGTCTTTGTAGCCTTGGATTAAGTAAAAAGAGACTTAATCAGCACTGATACTATTAATACAAACAAAGTTTACATCTCTATGTGAAATCTTTTTCTGTAGGTTTAAGAGTAGTGAACAACTTCTTTACCTGTCCAAGCATTATTGATCTTCGCTAGAACAATCCACAAATTATTTCAAAATTTGATGTCGCTTGCTATGCTGAAAACTTTTCATGATAGAGAACGAAGATGAAATTCTGGTCCAATCCTGGCCCTATCACTATACCCAAGTCTGTGTAATGATATGATATTATCGTAGTATTCTAATCAGGCCGCATTATATTGGTGATTGGAAGTAAATAGTTACGCTGATTTGAGAGAATTGAGATTTCCTAAATGCTAATTTACAGAATCTTTCCAGAAAGTTACAAGTTTAGTATTCCAACATTAGGAAAAGTTCTACTTGTTTCATTTTTTTTAGAAAAATTATCCCTGAGTGCTGCTACTGAAATAAAGTGCTGGTGATTTCTTCTGTAAGAAAAAACCTTTCCATTCGTTTAGTGAACTGATTAATAAACTATCAATTAAAGATTGCTTTGTTTTCTCAATAAATATTAACATCCTAGTTGTGGTCGAAGAGTTTCACCAGGTTTGAATGTTAACATGATCCTGAAGAATTCTGTTTTTTTGAACCCTTGCGGAGAGAGTAGATATACTATGTTTAGATTTCTAAAAAAACGAGCTAGCGGAAGGAGGATGTGTGAAAAGGTATGATAAACGTACCTGAAGTGTAATCGCCAACACTTGGAGAAGAAGAGATGCTCCGTCCATTAAAAGGTTAACTACTTCGAGAGTTAGTTTGAAATTTAAGTCCCATTTTTGAATTCTTTAGGATTCAGATTGTTTAGGATCTCTGGGCTATAATAATTTTTTTGTTCTGTATTGAGATGCGCAGTTTTAACTAATTGGTTCAGCCGTCAACTGAGCGCCAAATGGGCTTTCGATAACAAATATCCTTAGTTGTATTTTTAAAATGCAGAACTATTTTTTACAACTTTCTGAAAAATTCTGCCAAAGAGTCGTTAAAATACTTCCAGTGAAATTTTTGAGGGACAGAAGAATGTTACAGAAGAATCTTACTTATATTTGCCTTTTGTTTTCCTTCTTAGCAAGAGAAGCTCTTCAGGAATCGATGGGAAAAGCGGAAATTTTTTTCTTCGACCGTATAAGCAAAAATGTTTTCCTGAAATGGAGAGATGAAGATCCAGCAGGGTGACAAGGTGGCAGAGGTCGTGGGTATCCCGTTGTTCATAGATTGCAAAACCGTTTTCATTACCCTATCCATCAATTTTTTCCAATGAATAAATGAATGAGTCATTTTGCTAACATTTAACCATCGAAACACCTCATCTATCCAACTTCTTCTTTTTTTCTCTCTTTACAGAGAAGAGAGGGAGAAAGAGGAAAAAGGAGAAATCACTTCCACTAAACACTGTCTTACATCTCTCCAGCATTCATTCCGCTTATTTATTTTTCTCTGTCAGCCATGTTCAATTCAGATCATGTCCTCCTACGTCTAACTCATACTTCAATTCAGATCACATGTCCTCCTACGTCTAACTCATACTTCAATTCAGATCATGTCCTCCTACGTCTAACTCATACTTCAATTCAGATTCACATGTCCTCCTACGTCTAACTCATACTTCAATTCAGATCATGTCCTTCCTGCGTCTAATTCATAC